AATAGGAAAACCCTGAAACAGGAAGAAGGACACAGCTCACTCGGGGGGTGTTACCTCAGGGATTTAAAAACAGTCTGACCATTTTTGGAAATCAATTGGCACTAGAATTAGAATTCTGTGAAGCACCCACCCAGACAGGAACTTTACTACAGTATGTGGACGACCTGTTAATTGCTACCAAAACTGAGAAAAAAATGTGTTCAATGGACTGTAGAACTGTTAAACTTTCTGGGGCTAAATGGATACCCAGTATCTAAACTGAAGGCTCAACTAATTCGAACTCAAGCATCTTATTTAGGATGCAAAATAACAGAAGGACAACCAGAACTTGGAGCAGCTAAGAAGGAAGCAATCTGCCAAACACCGTGACCATCCACAGTTAAAGATATCTGGACATTTCTGGGAATGACTGGATGGTGTCAACTCTGGATCCATGATTATGGTGTTCTGGTAAGACCCTTATATGAGCTGCTAAAAGAAAATCCAACCTTTCTAAAATGGACAGATCAATCTGAAGAAGCGTTTCAAAGTTTAAAGACAGAACTCATGAGAGCTCCCTCTCTGGGGCTCCTGGACATAACTAAACACTTTTGGCTATATTCCTATGAGAAATAGCAAATAGCCTTGGCGGTTTCGGCTCAGAGATTGGGACCTTATAAAAGAGCAGTGGCCTATTTTTCAAAACAACTGGATGAACCAAGTAAAGACTGCCCTGGATGCCTGAGAGCAGTGGCAGCAGTTATCTTAAACATCCAAGAGGCCTGAAAATTTACACTGGGACAAAAGATCACCGTTTTAGTATCACATGCAGTACAAAAATATACACATTGGCTATTGCCATCACGTTTCTTGAAGTGTGATCACTAATGCTGTGAATCCAGCATCTTTCTTTCAGGAAACCCCTACCAAACTGCTGACTCATGATTGCTTGGCCACTATAAAGACAGTATATTTGAGCTGACCAGATCTGAAGGAGGAGCCTCTGGAGGGTGCAGATTCCTGGTTCACCGATGGCAGCAGCTTTGTTAAAGATGGTAAACGATGCCATAACTACAACTTCAAAGGTAATAGAAGCTAAACCTTTACCCTCTAACACTTCAGCGCAAAAGGCAGAAATAATAGCCTTGACTAGAGCCTTGGAGTTGGCAAAGAACAAGCAGATAAGCATATGGACTGATTCCAAATATGCCTTTGGTGTAGTTCATGCACATGGAGCAATTTGGAAAGAACGAGGACTTTTTAAATACCCAGGGAAGACAAATTAAACATGCAGCAGAAATTCTACGATTGTTAGAAGCTGTACAATTACCCAATGAAGTGGCTATCGTACATTGTAAAGGACATCAAAGAGGTAACTCTGATCAAGAGATTGGAAATAATTTGGCTGATCGTGAGGCTAAATGGGCAGCAGAAACAGAAAGAGTTGAGGTGATGTCCTTAATTCCTGACGGTAAACTGGTAATTGAGCAAAATAAACCTAGGTACTCTAAAGAGATATGAAACTAACTGAAGACTTGGAAGGACAGGAAAATGAAAAGGGTTGGATAAAAATACCTGATGGGCAAGTAGTGATCCCCTATAATCAATTATGGAAGTTGATACAAGAAGAACATAACAAAACACACTGGGAAAGTAATGCCTTGTATAAACATTTAAACAAACAGATCATAGGAAGAAATTTCTGTACCATAGTGCAATTAGTGACAAAACAATGTCAACTATGTCTGAAAAATAACCCTAAGACTGAAAACAGGAATCAGGTAGGGACAATTGGAAAACTGAATTATCTGGGACAACAGTGGCAAATAGATTTTTCTGAATTACCTAGAAAAGGAGGTTATCGATATTTGTTGGTATTGACAGATACTTTTTCAGGGTGGCCAGAAGCATTCCCTTGTGGAATAAATAATGCAAGACAAGTAATTAAAACATTATTAAACGATATAATACCTTGTTTTGGAGTACCAGAGGCAATTTCTTCCGACCGAGGCTCACACTTTAGTGCAAAATAGTTACAAGAAATTAGCAAAAAAATTAGAAATTGATTGGCAACTACATGTTCCATACAGGCCTCAGGCCAGTGGGCAAGTAGAAAAGATGAACCATCTGATCAAACAACAGACTGGTAAAATATGTCAGGAAATGAATTAATATTGGTACCAAGGTTTACCACTGGCTCTATTAAGAATTCGAACTAAACCTCGGTAGAAAGAAGAGGCTAGGCCATGTAAAATTTTATGTGGAAGACCATATCAGTCACAGTTTAAAGGAGAAAGTCTTCTGGAAGCGGGACAAGGCTATCTCTGAGAGTTTCTGGTCAATCTGGGAAAACAATTAGAAGAAATAAAAGAACATTGGGGACAAGTGTGAGAGGCGTGAATTATCCGCCTGGGTTTATGTTAAGAATTTTTCAGGAGATTCTCTAGAGGAGAAATGGAGAGGACCGTACCAGGTAATATTGACCACCTTTACAGCAGTGAAGATAAAGGAACAACCTGCTTGGATACATTATTCAAGAACCAGAAACACATCAGAACAAAGAAAAAGTATGGCATGTTGAGTCTTCAGGACCCACACATATGAGACTACATCGATCATAATTTGGACTTGTATAATAATAGGTGTAGAAGCATGGAATCAAAATCTATATCTGAGATTGATACAAAATGTTACTAATGTCTTAAAAAAGAGTGATTGTTGGATCTGTACTCAGCTACCTAAATCAGGAGAGAGACTGGGTATTCCTTTAATAGGCCTCCCTATCCCCTTTAAGACAAATTGGAATAGATTGTTCCTATATAGATCAAAGTGGAAGAGTTACTACTGATCTAAAGAAAATGTGGAAACAAGTTAAAATATTTCATGAGGTGGCGCAGGACAACACCTCATGGGGATTTGAGGAAATTTGGGAAAAATTAACATCATGGGTACCCAATCTCTCCTGGTTGAGACAGTTGGTTTTTACTGTATTTGTAATAATAGGAATGGTTGTAATTACATGCATAACGGTCCAATGCTCCTTTTGGTGTTACAAACAAACCATGATGAACTATGATGAATGGAAGAGAAACAAAATTAAGCATCAAATAGAAACAGGGAAATACTTCAGGAAACTTTAAATAAAAATGAAATAACTCAGTTGCAAAAGAATTTGCAATAGGACAAGAAAAAGGGGGGATTGAAGAGTGGGGTTGATTGAAGAATAGGGTTGTAAATAAGTAACCTCAAGAACCTTGGGCTTTGTTAGCAACTATAGAGAAAACGAAAATTACTAAGATAAGCTTTGCCAGAACCACCTGGTGGTTACTGATATGACAATGATCCTAAAACAAAGTGATGAAGAAATAACCACCAGGGGTCCAAAAGCCCACTACCACATTTTTGTATGCATACAGGAGGCATTGTCTAAGAAGTATAATGTAATGTATGTGATCTAATGAATATGTATGTTTAAGGACAATATAATCACAGCCTGGTTGATGCCTGGAAGAGACACGCTTGGAGGAGCTATCCCCCGTGTCTCCTGGCGCCACAGCAAAGAATACCTCTTTGTCAACTTAAAACTTTGTTGGCGAGTTCCTGGAGATTTCTCCGAATCAGGCACATGAAAAACAACGAGGTGCTTGGTGACAGCCAGCATGGCTTCACTAAGGGGAAATCCTGCCTGACCAATTTGGTGGCATTTTATGATGGGGCTACGGAACTGATGGACAGGTGCAGAGCATTTGACACTGTCCCGCATGACATCTTTGTCTCTAAATTGGAGAGACATCAATTTCATAGATGGACCACTCGGTGGATAAAGAACTGGATGGATGGCTGCACACAAAGACTTGTGGTCAATGGCTCAGTGTCCAGCTGGAGACCAGTAATGAGTGGTATCTCCCAGGGATTGGTGTTGGGACTGGTCTTGTTCAACATCTTTGTCAGCGACATAGACATTGGGATTGAGTACGCCCTCAGCAAGTTTGCCAATGACACCAAGCTGTGTGGTTCGGTTGGTATGCTGGAGGGAACAAACGCCATCCAGAGGGACTTTGACACACTTGTGAGGTGGGCAGATGCCAACCTTATGAAGCTTAACCATGCCAAGTGCAAGGTCATAAACCTGGGTCAGAGCAATCCCAGGCACAGCTACACGTTGGACAGAGAAGAGAATCCAGAGCAGCCCTGCGAAGAAGGACTTGGGGGTGCTGGTCGATGAGAAAATGAACATGAGCCGGCAGTGTGCGCTCGCAGCCCAGAAAGTATAGTGGGCTGCATCAAAAGAAGCATGACCAGCAGGTCAAAGGAGGTGATCCTGCCCCTCTACTTTGCTCTTGTGAGACCTCACCTGGGATATTGTGTACAGTTCTGGTGTACTCAACATAAGAAGGACATGGAACTGTTGGAACAAGTCCAGAGGAGGGCCACAAGGATGATCAGGGGACTGGAGCACCTCCCATATGAAGATCGGCTGAGAAAGTTGGGGCTGTTCAGCCTGGAGAAGAGAAGGCTGCGTGGAGACCTCATAGCAGCCTTCCAGTATCTGAAGGGGGGCTATAGGGATGCTGGGGAGGGACTCTTTATTAGCGATTGTAGTGATAGGACAAGGGGTAACAAGTTAAAACTTAAACAGGGGAAGCTTAGATTGGATCTAAGGAGGAAATTCTTTCCTGTTAGCGTGGTGAGGCACTGGAATGGGTTTCCCAGGGAGGTTGTGAATGCTCCAACCCTGGCGGTGTTCAAGGCCAGGTTGGACAGAGCCTTGGGTGATATGGTTTAGTGTGAGGTGTCCCTGCCAATGGCAGGGGGGTTGGAACTAGATGATCTTAAGGTCCTTTCCAATCCTACCTATTCTATGATTCTATGCTCGAGAGCATGGGCCAGGAGGGGACGAGAATATCCCAGGGATGCTATAGGGAACCAAAACACTCTGATGTGGCTCATCCTTGAAACACTGTTTGCATCCAACCATCCCCTCCTTCCCCCAAGACCCCTGTGAAGACACAGGCAGGTGCCTCTTTGCTGCTGCCACATTTATTTGGAAACATCTGCTTTCTACTCTGCCCAACGCCTCACGCCAACAGCCACCAGAGCCACAGTGAGCAAACTGAGAGCACACAGCAGGAGGAGGGCCCCAGGGAGCCACAGGTTAGGTCCTGCAGAAGAGAAAGATTGGTTACACATCTGGGGCCCCTGAGTCCATGCTGAGCCCTGGCATGGCATCTCCTGGCTGGGGCTGAGCTGGGGAGGTCATCTCCTGTGAAGGGTAAGAGCCACTGGAGCTGGGGGTATGTCAGGGTCCTGAGGACATTAACAAGACTCAGTCACCCCAATTAGCCTCACATGGGGCTCCACCCACACCTGCTGTCATTCATGTGGCTGGTCTGAGCTATGCTGTGGGTGGTCTTGGTCCTGGATCTCTGCTTGGATCTCCTGGATTGACCTCAGTGCTCAGAAGGAGCCTGCCTCACTGTGTTGATGAAGAGGTCCATTGTGAGAGCCCAGCCTCCCTCACCTTCTGGAGGACTTCTGGTCCCTTCCCACCCTGCTCAGCCTGACCTGTGCCCAGTACGGGGCCATTCACCAGAGCCAACCTCTCTGTGCTGGTTTGGCTCCTGGAGCACGCCCTGCATGGCCATGACACCTGAAAGACTCCACACTCCTGTGCAGAGCAATGACTTAGGAGCCCTTTTAAAGAACCTGGCATTGCCTAGAGAGTTGCAAGGGTCTGTGAGCTGCTCCTGCCCTCCCCAGAGGGACATACGTACCCCCCAGGTCATGTTGGTCAGTCTGGGAATGGTGGGTCTCTGCTCCCAAGGAAGGAGCAGCCAGCAGGTGAATGGGCCCATAGGAGACAATCTTACTGTAGTCATTGGCCAGTGCCCGCTTGCTCCACCGGTGCCTGTGGCACTGCTGTGGATAAAGCCAAGGGAAAGGTGTTGGGAGCAGAGAGCAGGGGAGAAGCCCGTTCCAGGGGCAAGAGCAAATCCTGGTGGTCTGCCCCTGGCAAGAGGCACCACTGGGGCTGCAGCCTGGGAGTGGTCAAGACCCCAGAGGAGCCTGCTCCTCCCCAGGTCCTATCATAAACCTCTCCTCCTGCAAATATCCAACAGAGAGATGGAAGAGGGAAAGGAGCTTTCTGGTGGGTTCAAGCCCTTGTACCTTTAGTTCAAGGTGCTGGGCTGAGCTCCTGCTGCTGGGAGATGTTTTTTCTGCTGAGGCACACAAAAGCGGAGCAGAGCTCCTTCTCTAAACAGCAGGCCCAGGGAAGGGAGATCCCTCTGCATGGCCAGGGCACTGTGCAGACCACTGGGAGAGCTCACCTTGGCACAGGGCTCCGGGCCATTGGGGAGACAGAGCTGAACACGGCAGTGCAGGAACACCTCAGGATAACCGACAAACTGGAACATCTGGAAGCTGAACTTGGCGGTAGTTTTCTCTCCAAAGATGTTCAGGTATGTCACTGTCTCATCATGGGGACACCTGGGACACCATGGCTGAGTCAGCAGGGGGAAACAAGGGGGAGCATCCCAGCCTGGGACACCAAGCACACAGGGACTCGGTGCAGCCCCCAGGCTTTTCTGAACTATTTCCATCTTGGTGCTAGTGGGGATGCCTTTCCTTGGCACCCCGCATTGTGCCCAGATTCAGGAGGAACTGTTACCACCACAGGAGCTGGCTTGTGTCTCACTCCGGGGAGCCACAGCTGCTCTGCATGGGTGCAGTGAGCCTGGCTGTGGTTCCCACTTCCCAGACATCCATGTTACCAGCTTTAGCTTGGCTGCAGCCACATTTAATGCAAGCTCTTCAGCAGAGACCTCTCTGCACATTGCAGCAAGGTCACCAGCTGCCCAGAAGTGATGCTGGAGAGAAGGCAGCACTGTTGGCAGCAGAGCAGGGTCAGGAGAGGGGGCTTAGAGTGGTTAGAGGGATCATCTATGGGGCTGTTCCACCTATTCAATGATGGTGTCCACCATAGGTTCCACCCATGAGAATGATGGTGTCATTGCTCCCTCACAGCAACCTGTCTTTAGCACCCAGCAAAGAGAGATGACTGTGCTCATGGTGCAAGGAGACCAGATGCACTATAGGTGCTCCACTCACCCCTTCTCAATAAGCTTGTGCTGCAAGTCCTGGTAGGGATCTGTGCTCGGTGTGGCCCAGCAGTCCTCAACACTCAGCAGGAAGTACTTGAGTTGGTGCTGTCCTTCTATCTTCAGCAGAACATAGAGTGTGCCTGTGACAGGGACAGCCACAGCTGGCAGGTGATAGGGCTGGAGGTAGGAGGGGGTCTTGTACAGTCTCATGCTAACGTTGAAGTGTCCTTCTCTGACCACAAACTGCACCAGCCTGAGAAGAGAGGAGGAGACATCACAAACAGAATAAGGCAGGAAGGACATAGCACAAACAAGGCCAATGGCAGGGGTGCACTGACTTGGAATGTGCCTCTGCTCTCAGGTGAGAGCCAGACCCCAAACTGTCTCCTGGCTGGTATGTCCACACTGGGTGCGGACAGAGGCAAGGAGCTCCAGGAGTTCTCACTGACTGGCTGGCCAGTGAGAGCTATGAGAAAGGTATCTCAGGAGGTCCTGATCTGCACCTCCACAGGGGCATGGTGCGGGCATCTCCCAGTTCCCACCCTTTATTTTTTGGATAGCTGATTTCAAGCACTGAGGCTAGGAGAAAGGTATGCCCCTCTTCGGCTCTGCCCCAGGCCCAAACCTCATGTTGAAAAACCATTTTGGGAAGAGAAAGAGAGGTAGCCTGATCTCAGAGCTCTCTAGTGGCTCCCCAGGGACTTTGCAGATCACCTCATTGAAGGCATCTATTTTTCTGCAAGCTCTTTCATGTCAGCAGTGAAGTGAAGAGGGACCACTCACTTGTCAACAGCAGTGAGAGTGAAGGGCAGCCTCACCACCTGCTTGTAGGCATAGACACAGGAGAAATGCACCTCAAGCTGAAAACTCCGGGAGATCACTGCCCCATGAGCTTCCCACTCTGACTCCATGATGTTGGAGTATGACACATGGGAGCTGTTTTGCTGGAACGACACAGAAATCAAGTCTCCAGAATATGTCTAAGCCCATATGCAGAGATCCAAGGCCCAGTTCAGATGGATGCAACTCAGCTGCTCCAAAACCTGCTGGGGTTTTGCTCAAGCCCTGTGTCCAGGGGCTGCTGACAAGCATCATCAGAGCAGGCAGGAATCAGCAGAGTGACCACAGGTGAGGGCAATGCAGAGTTGGAGCACTGGTTCTTCTGAACCCTCCCTGACCCATGAATCAAGTGAGGGACCAAGGGGCTATAGCCAGGACTGCAGAGCTCAGAGGATGCTACCAGAAAGCTGCAGTCTGTTATCTAGATGATAGCTAGAGCTTTCCGACAGCCCCCAGTGAAGCCTTCCAAGGGGAATGAGAAATTTACAGCACCCTGATATCAAAGGAAAAGCTTATGGGGCTTCGCCTTTGCTGTCCACACTCTGCACATCTGCTCCTCTCATGGCTTCAGAGCTACACAGAGAGGCTCTGCTGGATCCTTACCTGAATTATTGATCCACAAGCAGTGTGGTTTTCACCTGTGAGAGTGGCTGCAAAAAACAGCTCACCCTCTTCTTCCCTTTCTGAAACCTTGCATGCCTGGTTCCTCAAGTGGACAAGTTGCTGGGGGATCTTCAGAAGTTCAAATGCCTCCTTCCTCACCATCATCTTCATGTGCTCTTCCTCACAGGACAACTTCAGTACCACATCTAGGGAAAAAAGCCATCTGCAATAGCAATAAGGGCCTGAAGGAGCCCTAGGTCAACTATGGAGCAGCACAGTCCCACTGAGCTCAGCAGAGCCTCATCCCATCCTGGTTGGAGGCTGCTGGTGGGGCTCTTCACAGACACTGGGCAAAAGACAAACCTGTGGGAACACACAGACATTAATGTGGGTCTCTTACTTTCTCCTGGTTAAGACCTGCACAAGTCCATGGCCACTGCTACCCTGAACAGACACAGTCCTTAAGCTCAAGACATCAAAGGCAGATGTTGTGGGTATGGCCCCTTTTGAGGGCTGTCTACAGAATCACTGCAGCCTGCCAAGGGCACCAGAGAGGGTCAGGGATCCTCTCTTGCAGATGAAGAAGACACAGGTTTTGGCCAGTGTCTGGAAGAGGCTTCAGTGGAGATGTGTGGAATATGTGTGCTTGTTCTGACACTGCAAGGCAGCTGTGCTCTGCAGCATGCCCTGCTGCCCTGGAACATCTTCTTGGCAGACAAGAAATTAAGTAATTAAGACTTTTGGGGAGGAAGGAAATGGCCTGTGACTGGGTGTTGTACCAATGTGTAGTCAGGACATGGTAGTGGTGGCAGGCAGGAGCTGGGATGTGCTCCTGGAGCCTGCATTGGAGAACAGTGGTAACACCAGTGCACCATGCCAATCACCCTTCCCTCTGGTGCCCCTGGACAGACTATGGAGGGCTCATAGCATCCCCTACCTTGGCAGAATGCCCCTGTGAAGCCCGGTCTGCAGCTGCAAATGGGTCTGTCCTCCATCAGCTGGCAGTGCCCCTGGTGCTGGCATGGGTTTGGCAGGCAGGCATTCAGGCTCCTCTTGAGACGGAGGGCAGCCCCTCGCCTGGGGCTCACCAGCTCCCCTGCAGCAAAGGAAAGGTGAGAAAGCTGAAACTCAGCAAGAACATCTCCTCTGTGAGAGACACAAGAGCAAACTCACCCATGGCATGAAGCCCTACGCAGTTCGCCGGGGCCGAGATCCTCACCTAGAGCCAGGGCAGGCACACCTGAGGAAGAACCTGCCCTTTGGCTTGCCTGGGAGGATGCATGTGAGAGCCTGGGAGAGCTCCTCAGCATGGCTGTAATATGGATCAGAGCTATGGAGCCTGACACCAGCTAGTAAGGAGAGCGGTGGCACATCACAGCCCCTGTGCCCATCTCCACAGGTTATATACTGCACGTGACTGGGATGGAGAGCCTGAGGTTTCTGCCTATTTTGCTGGCTCCTGCTGGTTCCTGGGTTCCTGCCTCCCCTTGAGCCCTGCTCTGTTATCTCCCCATAGCAGCCTTCAGCAGTGCCCTGAGTGAGGAACCCGGACACAGATCAGGTGAGGGCTTGACCTCTCCTTTCCGTAGTATGCATCTGTGACCCAGCAGAGACAGTGTACAGGGGCACTCACTCTTGTTGCCTTCACAGCCAGACAGGCAGAGGGCAGAGACCAGCAGCAAGAATCTCACAGTCCTTTCCTGTGAAAACAAACAGGTTCTGGGTAACTTGGTTTTAGTATGCTCGCTGGAGATGTTTGCAGTCATCCATAAAGAGCCCACCCTCAAGCATTGGGTGTGATAATTTCTGTACTGTATGTCCTCCAAAAACTCTGTGTTCAATGGCACAAAGTAATTTCCTATCCCAAATGAACAGATACCTCCCCCCCCCCCCCAGGCTAACGCAAGGGTCAAATACTCTCCTGAATTTAAGGCGCTATTCCTGAATGAGGGGGTGGAAGAAACTAGACCTTGGACCTGCAGGAATGTGCTGGCAGTGATAAAGCCACATTTAAGTAAGAACAGGCACTTGAAGTAAAACTGCATAGCTGAGGCATCAGCCCAGGCTTCCCAAAGAGGAAAGGCATTTCCCCTCTTCCCACTCTTTTGAAGACCCAGGATTTGCAAAAGGATCCTTGCTTTTCCAGTAACACATATCCATAACAAGGAGACAATGGGATAAAAAAACCCCAAATCTTTGGACACAACTGAAATTAATGCCACAAAGACACAGATTAAGTCAATCTCCCCCATAATACGGATAATGGACTTCTTTAGGTAAATTCATGGTGTGGTTCTGGGTGAGCCCTGGACACTTGGAGTCTCCTTATCAGACATGAATAAGAGCCAGATGGGGCGGGTGGCTGGAGTGATGCAGTGCCAAAAGCCCCACTCTGGTCTGGCAGCACATGGCTCACCCTCCACCAGACCCCGGAGCTCCAGGCAAGGAGGTTTTACTCCCCGCTCTGCTCCTTGTTCTCTACAGCAGTCCTGAGACATCCCACCAGCATCAAGCTCTCGCCTTGTTCTCACCCCACTTACCATTGCCAGGCTGCTCTGTGCTTCTCCAGCCACCAATGCCCCGTCACTCTCGTGCTCCCTGCCCCGTGCCTTATATTGCCTTCCAGCAGCTCAGCGTTGTCCCCCCCACAAACACATTGCTTGGTGATTGCGCAAGATCCAGCTTAGCATGCTTCAGCTCTAGACCCTCCCAAAGTCCATCTTCCGGCACCCATGGCTCTTCCCATTGGCCAATGGCTCCTGACTGCTGACCCAATTCACCGCCCTGGTGGGATCCCAAACAGGGCAGTATCCACAAAATTCCCAGGAATGTGGGGGTATGTGCATCCAGCTGTTTTGTGGTACCTGCTTTTGACGCAGCGGTAACAGCAGATACCACAGCAGAACATGTGAAGGCCAGATAACTGTGTACTGAACATATGCCGTTTCGCAACCAGAACGTACAGTGGCTTTGGCTGGTTTCTTGATGACTTCTGACATCTAAGATCTGGTGAGAGATGGAGGGATGAGGGCTTGGTCCTACCATGCTTTGTTTGGGAAACAGTAACCGGCTGCCAACAGCAGTAATCACTCAAGATGATGCTTCTTGATTATATTGACTATATACTCTGTGCTTCAATTGCTACAGTTACCACAACACAATGGCAAATATGAACATCAGCCCAGGTTTTTTTTCTAACCACAATGAAAGCCAGAAAACAATAGTGTTTAGCACTTGACCCTTCTCACATCCTAATGAACAACCAGTTAGAAAAAGAAGAAGAAAGAAAAGGCCTCCTGCCATCCCTGGCTTCCAGCTTTTTGGTGAGAATCTCTGCTTTCCATTATGTGTTGTATAAAGCAGTTGACAGAAGCTTGCACAGGCTCGATTAGAGATGCAAAAGCAGCACAGCCCAAAGGCTTAGAAAGCACCAGAGTAATAGGATGGGGGCGGGGGGGGCCCCCCCCCCAGCTTTGCGGTTTTATTATTCTTTTTAAAAAGAGAGCGAAACCCAGTGAGTTTCAGAGCAGCTTCGTGGTCTCCGGGGCTGTCCTGGCGAGCACATTTGGCTGCTTCCCCCCGCTTTGCCTAAGTGTCTCCTGGCAGAGGAGGCTGCAGCACATACGGATGGTCTCTCCAAGGCAGCACCTGGAGCTCAGCCAGGAAGACGCTCAGATCAGCGGCGGGAAGAGTCAGGGCAGCTGAGGGGTTGCAGGGTGGGGGCTCCTGAGGCCGGAGGAAGGCCGCGGGGAGGCCGGCGGTAGGTCGGGGTAGGGCCGGAGGGAGGCCTGGGGGGGAGGCTGCAGGCCCTGCCACGCCCCGCGGTGCTTTTGTGGCGGTGTTGCCATAGTGCGGGTGCCCGGCAGCAGGGGGCGGGCAGGGAGCGGCAGCGGCAGCCTCAGGGTCGGGGAGGAGGGCTGGGCCCGCCGCCCCCCAAGTGCAAGGTCTGTGCCTCTCTCTGCCTGCCTCTCATGGGTCAGCCTGATCGCGGGGAGTGGGAAACAAACAGCCCCCACATCCCCGGGAGGATATCCATAAAAAACAGCCTCTGTCCTTGGAGGCTGCTGAGCGCTGCAGAGCATCCTGCTCCGTTCAAGGCCCCTGCGCTGCCGGTCTGGCTCGGTGCAGCCCCGACGACTCTGGTAGGGCCATCGGCTGGTGCCTGGCAGGTTTTGGAGCTGCCTTCCAGCTGGCAGCAGCCCGGAGGATGCAGCTTTCACAAGGACACGGCAAGCAAGGGATGCGGCACCACCTGAGCATGGGGATGTGCTGAGTCTGGCTCCCCCGATCTGATGGCTTTCCCCACACCACGGCATCCAGGAACATGCAGCCACTTCTTTACTAAGCCCACCCCAAAGTCAAATTCAGTGCTCACTCTTCACTGTCATGCCTCTGGCTGCCTCAGCCATGCTCATGTACTAAATCACTGTAGCCAGTATGCCAATGTTTCTGTGTTGCTGTGTACCTGGGTCCCATCCCTGAATTCACCCTGGTGTGTGCATTTCTGTAGTGGCTGGGAGGAGGTGGAATTGATGTTCTGGAGGAGAAGGAGGAAGACAAGAAAAGAGTGGAAGAAAAGCTGAAGGCTTTGGTGGTCAGTGATGACCTCCAGGATGTGGAGACAAAGGTGCCTGTGGAGCAAGATTGTATCCGAAAGCATCTGCTCTAAGTCATCTGTGTCTGTCAGTTGCTGAGATGAGGAGAGACGGTTTCGCTGGTCTATAGGGGGAGATGGTACACATGTGGATGGCACGTGTGGTCCCTTGGCACCCGGAAGGGAGTGAGCAAGTTTCACGTGCCTGGTGTGTCTGTGCAAGAGTGGGCATATGTAAGTAAGTGGGCACATGAAAGTAATTAACTCACTTCATTGCACACACATTCGTTTCTGTGTCATGACACTATGAGAAAGGTAGATGGTGCATGCCCTTCTTTGGCTCTGCCCTAGGCCCAAACCTCGTGTTGAAAAACCATTTTGGGAAGAGAAAGAGAGGTAGCCTGATCTCAGAGCTCTCTAGTGGCTCCCCAGGGCCTTTGCAGATCACCCCATTGAAGGCATCTATTTTTCTGCAAGCTCTTTCATGTCAGCACTGAGGTGAAGAGGGTCCCCTCACTTGTCAACAGCAGTGACAGTGAAGGGCAGCCTCAACACCTGCTCCTAGGCATAGACGCAGGAGAAATGCTCCTCAAGCTGAAAACTTTCTGAGATCACTGCCCCCTGTGCTTTCCACTCTGACTCTATGACATTGGAGTACAACACGTGGGAGCTGTTTTGCTGCAATGACACAGAAATCAAGTCTCCAGAATATGTCTAAGCCCATAAGCAGAGACCCAAGGTCCAGTTCAGATGGTGCAATTCAGCTGTCACAGGAGCAAACTGAGAGCACACAGCAGGAGGAGGGCCCCAGGGAGCCACAGGTTAGGTCCTGCAGAAGAGAAAGGTTTGTTACATGTCTGTGGCCCCTGAGCCGGCACTGTGCCCTGGCATGGCATCTCCTGGCTGGGACTGAGCTGGGGAAGTCATCTCCTGTGAAGGGTAAGAGCCACTGGAGCTGGGGGTATGTCAGGATCCGGAGGGCATTAACAGGATTCAGTCACCCCAATTAGACTCACATGGAGCCTCCACCCACACCTGCTGCCTAGGGGCTCCATTTAGTTTGTCATTCACACAGCTGGTCTCTAAAAATGGAAAAGGAGAAGGGAGGAAGAAAAGAGGGAGGTGAAAGATATGAAGGGGGGAAGATAAAGAGAAAAACAAGCAAGGAAGCCTCTGGTTATGAACTCATCAGTGTTAGTTCAACACCAGGAAAAACACCATAACAAATTAATTTAGAATCCTTTTACAGCCACCAGGGACATAGCAGCTGCCAAAAAAAAAAAAACAACCCCAAAATTATCAGTTAATACATATTATCAAGGACTAGCATCAGACTAATTTTATTTCCTCTTCTGATGGAGTAATTAGCTTGAGAGACAAGGAGGAAAGCATTGAAGTGGCATGACTCCACCCCTGTTAGGCTGAGAGCAAGTGGCATGGCTGGCCCAGGATGAAAACACACCCGAGTATCTGGCGGGCTAACTACGCGGGCAACAAACATCTGATGCAGAGGGTTGACCAATGTACAGGGGGGTTGTACAAGGGGGTCGTACAAGGGGTTTGTGCAAGAGGGGATAAAGGAATTTTGCCTGTTTAACAGAAAGCATTGTTTGCAAATTCCTGTCAAGCTTGCCATGCAGTACCAGGATAATAGGCTATTGATAAGGGGAAGAAACAGAGTGATAAGGGGGAAGAACAGTTACTTAGTTCCATTGAAGACCAGCTTTGCGGTTTGGACTTTGACCAGACTCCTAAAGAGCATGTGCGACACTAGAGGTGAAAAGTTCAGGCTTGAGGAAGACTCATTTACTTCATCTTGAAGACCCCTACTCACAAGAGGAAGACTCATTTACTTCATTTTGAGACCCTTGCCCATGACCAGGAGGGGCACTGCTCAGGCACAAAGGACCTTCTAGCTCATTATAATACTAAGCGGGGATAGGACATGAATATGTATAGACGTGCTGTGCAACCTCATGAATATCTATATAACTTTAGAGAATAAATGTAGAGGGAAACAAGACTGAGGCACGCATGCCTTTGGAGGAGCTATCCCCCATGCGTCTCAGCGCTGAATAAAAAGCATACCTACTTTACAGCTTTAACGAGTTGTGGAGTCTATCTGCGTATCACATCTGAGGAGCTTGTACAAATGTTACCTGACAAACAGCTGCCAGCTGACAAACAGTGAGAGAGCCAGGAGCTCAGCTCCTGCCAGGGCTGTTCCTGTGACACCTGACAAGGGGAGCCACCTCCAGAGGACACACTGACCAGAGCCATGGGGCACAACTGCCTCAGCCACCAGTGAACCCTAAGCTAGGTAGTCTGGAAAGGACCTGTCAGGCATCCCTACGGAAGCTTTGGGCTAAGGGGCCATTGCAGCCGCCCCCTCCCCCCCCCGACAACCAAAATGCAACAACACCCACCCCACTACCCTCAGGAGAGCCGCAAAATTGCAACCCCCAGCGCCAGCACACCACCCACCTTCTTGGCCATTCTTGAAAAGGTGTTTCTGAGAGGCAGAGTCTAACTGGAGCTGCTGAGGGCTTGTGCCATTCTTGTATACCAAAAGAATCTTGATTTTTATATTTTGTACTCTGAAATTAATTTTTAGTCTTCATATTAGGATTTCAGATGTTTACGTGTTGGGGAAGAGGGAGAAGAGGAACTTTTCAAGTAGTGTTACGACTTGATTAAAGTTTGAGCTCTCTTTCTTACTAAGCAGTGACAGCTGCAGCAGTAGAGTATGTAGAGGATTTCAGTTGCACATGAAATCCTAAGAAAGTCCCATCAGAACAGGCAGCTTCCAACTGGTGTTCCCAGTGCGTTCCCTCTGTATGTGTGTGTGAGGCACAGAGCTAGCTTAGCTATTTAAAAAGACCTGTTTGAGAATGGAATAAAGCATAGAATATAGCTTAATTGACAAGTAAAAAATCTGAGTAGTGGTATTGGTTTTCTAAAGCTCATTTTAAATATT